TTTTCGAAGTTATGTTGTTTGTTTTCCCTCTTTCTTGTCAAAGCCGTGTGGGAGGATAACTTTTAAAAACACTCTGACGCTAAAGTTAATAATGTAACTGCCGATTAGTTGGACATGATACATATAATATACATGACGAAAAGTCATATTTAGGACTTTTATTTATATAATTGTAATGAATTTTTACCTTTTCATTGATGTAATGAAGACTCAATCATATTATAATGTGCATTAGGGTTTAATAAGTTATTATCATTTATAATCTAACCATCTGGTCGGTCATATGGTGATCTATCGATTTGGTGGTTCTCTTGGTGACAGTAAAATACAACAAGATAAAACATGAACTGTTTATTCATGATTCACTATATAAATTTCATTTTATAAGTCATTTTTGTTAGATTGAATTGAAGTTAAGAATTCATGGCATATACTATCAAAATGGAAGATGGTTATTGAAGAGTAAGGTGAATATGGTAGATAGATCCTCTTGTGGTCATTGAAAACGGCTCTGCACGTGACATAGGGTTTAAAAAAAGAAGGGATGGGAAATAAAATAGATGTGGAAGGAAGTGTCACATTAAAGAAGGAGGGGAAAGTGAGAGTGAGGTAGAATTCCAGTGGCTTCTGCAGATAGATCCCCTCGTGCGGCTCACCCGCTGACCCACACTTTCTCATTCTAATCTAACCTCATCATCTCTGCCAAAGTCTGGATCTTTTGACCTTTGACTGCCACACCATACACACAAACTTTATAACTTGTATTCTATCATGGAAAAGGATCCTCTACACTCTTCAGTTTTGGTCCTTGGATCCCTTGCACGTGACCTCCTTTGCTCATATGATACCATTCTGCTTTTCATGGCACGTGGGGTGGGGGTCACAATTCTTTTCTTCTCTTATAATAACGTCTCTCTCTACTCTACATTTGTTGAAGCTGTAATGTACTAAAATTTCACTCCCTTTGCTAGCTTCTTCAATTTATGTTCATTGTTATGCAATTTATGCATCATGAAAATAGTTATGTTAAACGTGGCTATGAGTTGCCAAATTGCCTTAGAATAATGGCTAAAAGAGCTTAGGAGCTATATAGAGCTGAAATTTCAAGATAAGTTAAACAAGGAATCAACTTGTTTTACTAGTCTTGTTGGTGAAATTGTTTTTCCAAAAGTGACACCACGGACTGTCAGGTATCACGCCAAGGCTAAGGATCACGTGAAACGGGAATTAGGAAAACCACATAGCAAGGGTAAAGGGTAAAGAAGGGAAAGAGAAAAACAATACTAATCTCTTATTCGTTCAAACCCCAAGAATAACTCTTGGTTATGGCCTAAAGGCACAACAAGCAATGTCCTCAAAATTAGCACTAAATTAAGACCATAAAATAATTTGTCGTTAATTTTGCTGGTTAGTGCTTAATGAGTTGTGCCTGTCTGTCAAACGTTTGTCACAAATTCTGATAATTATTATAGTACACAGAGATTGGTTTAGTGGAGTGGTTGATTGGTTAATGTTGCCCATATTTGATTCCCCAAAAAACATGGGATTTCATCGTACATGTCTTGTTTCAGATTTTAGCTGGCTCAGTTTAGGCGATGCTGCCATCTCTGTGAGCCCATATGCACAGCACATAGCACTAGGAACCAATTTTTGCACTCAGTGGCTGAATAATTTGGTTTCGAAAGCATATATATATATATCTTCATTGTCATTGTTTTAGTTAGTCAGAAAATGGAGGATGGGAAAGTTTGCACCACAACTATATCATATTCTTTTGGCTTTGCTTTTGTCTTATTACAACACAGAACTAGCCATGATTTTTATAGTTCCTACACTCTCTATGTCACCTCCAGTAGATTAGAATTTTGGTCTGCAACAAAAGAGAAAACTGCCAGGCTGAGACAAAGTGCTAATTCCCACTACCCCACTTCCACTATTCCATAGAATTTCATGGTGTCAAAAATGAAACAATCAAATTGGTCCCATAGATTAACAAAACCTTCTAATTCTTCGTCATTAGCAGCAGTAACATTCCCAGCTGGATTCGAGTGTTCATAAAACATGACTTTTTAACTACCTGTCATAATCATGGCTAGTTACCTACCTACAAGCCTCCTCAGAATTCTTGCCAAATTAACTCTCCAATTTATGCTCAGAATTCAACTCACTGTTCTCAATACTTTAGCCTCTTCAAGCTGCTAGACTGTTTATGCATGTGTGTTTATATTCCTTCTATCAAGAAATTGAAGCACTTGATAGGATGAACTATTGTTTTCAGAAGCTTAATGACAAACAATAAATTAAGACACAGGGGAGTGATCACAAATGTTATATTGTATAAATGATTTTCAATGTAAATTGAAAAGATTTTTGTCCAAATTCAAAAGTTGATAAATATGCAAAGCAAGGTTATTTTTCTGTCCATAGAATGAGACATAAATTGTTGGTACAAGTGATTCGATCATGGTTGAACAACTTAATTGTTACATCATTAGGTATCATAATTCTGATCAACATTCCCAAAGGACCTCGACATAAAATCATACTTTATTACTTGAATATCAAATTATTTAATAGCATGAATACTATGTATAAATAAAACTTCACAGTAAACAATTTGTTTTTTATAGTAGTGTGTCTATGTGTAGATAGAATCAAATTTGTTGTTCTGTTTGTATCAGATAAATGTGAGGTCAATCTCTATTATAAATTTCCACCTCTGAAACAAGTATGCTCTTGATTTCTGGTACTATGTTTCATGCTATGTCTTGCTAAGTAGGTTGATGATTGGTGTCTCTATGCTCTCATTGCTTAGCTTTGAAGTCACATAGTAATATGCATTATTAATTATGCAAAATGAGGAGAACAGAGATGTGCAGAAGTCCAACATATATGGCACAGAGGAAATTAAAGAAACCTTAAAAATAGTTTTTGGAGAAAAGGTGGCTCCAAGTTCTGTTCTGCTTTCTCAACCAAACGCTCTGACCCTTTTCTTTCCTTTTTTATTCTGCTTTCATTTTTAAACTTCTGCTGAGCAACTGACCGACTTCACAAATAATGATAAAAAATCAGTAAGACTAATTCCTTTTGTATTATTACCAAAATTAATTTTACTCTGATCTTATTCAAGCATTTCAAAACTTATTTGTTGCTTACTTGTCAGCATTCATATACATATTCATGTAAAAGAATCACATATCAAGTAAAAGACTTTTAAATTTCAAGCAATTAAGAAATTAAAATACTAATATGACATTTATTCTAATAAAACTGAGCTTAAAAAAAGGTCTCGGATTTGTGTCTGTCATGTAAAGAGAGAAGTTTTATTAAAAAAATGAATCAGATGTTCTGATAAATATTAACCACTTTCCATGAATATTTTTGCAGCAGTAAGGCTACAACATGGTGAAAAAAGTTAAGAAATTGAGATTTCCACCGAAAGAAGGTTGAAGAAAGTAGCCAAAAGTGTTATAAAATGAAATCAGACTGTAGAAGTTGAATTGGCAATGACATTTGCACAAAAATAATGAAATATGACAGTCGATTTCAAAGTCCAACATCAAGTGGCTATCAGCAACTGGTTGTTTCCAAGATATAGTGAATCCGAGAGAGGTGGAGATTAATATGATATGAAAGAAATAGTAATAATAATAACAAAAATTGCAGCTAGTTCAAGGAGAGAGTGGCTTTGTTTAGCAATAGAGCTCTTAAGCCAAGAAGATGAGCAGAGAATAGTTTAGTTTAGGTGCCTAAGAAGAGAATGGGAGACACAGAAACAGCGCCCACGTTCCCCTCATAGCTTAACTTGTTTCTTTATGGCTTTCGGTTTCTCTCTCTTTTATTTCTCTGTCTCTCATATCACAACCCTTCCTCTATTATACACATTGTTTTCTACCTATTATTATTATTATTATTCATGGAATAAATATATATGTTCTCTCCTCACTCCTCTTGTGAACCTCAATAAATACTCTTATCTCCCCCTCCTTTTCTCTCTCTCTCTCTCTCCGTCCTTCTCCCATTAGTTTACTTACTCACTATACCTTGATCACACAGCTCAAGGAGAATTTCAAGAGGTTCTCTTGCAAGTCTTAATTTCCATGATCATGGTCAGTCGAATTCCCTTGATTTTGCTCTTTTTTCTGTTTTCGCTCTTGATGATGATGATGATGATGATGATTATGCATGACCCTTTTGCTTGTAGTGATGATTTATCAGCTTTGTTATGGTGATGATTGATTTATTGTAGGGATACCAAAAGCCTGCATGGTTGGAAGCTCTTTACACACAAAAGTTCTTTGTGGGGTGCTCTTACCATGAGAACGCTAAAAAGAATGAGAAGAACGTCTGCTGCTTAGATTGTTGCACCAGTATTTGCCCTCACTGCTTACCATCTCATCGCTTCCACAGACTGCTTCAGGTTCGCCGCTACGTTTACCATGATGTTGTTAGGCTTGAAGATCTTCAGAAACTCATAGATTGCTCCAACGTTCAGGTACAAACACACACACATACATACATAAAGCTAAATAAAGTAATAGTAATAATACATTGGACTCCAATTCAGCTTTTGTACCACAAGTGAAATTCAATTTGATATGGTCGATTTGCCGATTCAAAAAGGTTTGAATTGTGTTGTTAGGCTTATACCATCAATAGTGCCAAGGTGGTGTTCATCAAGAAGAGACCTCAAAACCGGCAATTCAAAGGATCAGGAAACTACTGCACCTCCTGTGATAGAAGTCTTCAAGAGCCTTTCATTCATTGCTCTCTTGGATGCAAGGTACATACACTTACAATTCACTGTTATAGGTTGTACAGAAACTGATAGTAACTAAAACAAACAGGATCAATGAGATTTTCTAATGTTTGTGTGTGTGTAGGTTGATTTTGTGCTGAAACACTACAAGGATCTGTCTCCATACTTGAGGACATGCAACTCCCTACAACTAAGTCCTGATTTTCTGATCCCACAAGAGACGGTGGATGAAGAGGTGACTCGTTCAACGGTTGTGGATTGTGATGAGCCAATGAGTTCGTGTTCAGGGTCATCAGGGTCAGAGAACAACATGAGCATGTCTTGCACAGAGATTGTAAGGAAGAGGAGGAGTGGATGGAGCACTGTGTGTGCAAAATTCATGGCCAACAGCAATAACAAAGTTTCTGATGAAGACATGGCCACCAGCATGAGTAGAAGAAAAGGGATCCCTCATAGATCCCCACTGTGTTAGCTGCACTGATGAACCCAGAAAAAAAGAAGAACAAAATAATGAATTTATGAGTTTAGTACTTGTTAAATTTTTAATTTTTTTAATCACTGTGATGTGATATTTTGACTGAGGTGAAATGTTCAAAGTTCTGTGTCTCTGTCTCTCGAAATTGAAGATTTTGTTTAATTAATGACTTGGTCGGGGGTTTTGTCTTAATGGCATCACGTGGTTCCCAATTCCAAGTTATGTCTGTACATTGATAAAAGATATTATTATTATGATCATAATAATTGTGGTTAAATCATAGTCTAAGAATCGTGCTTTTGACTAGACAAAATGAATCTAGAAAAGGAACAAAATTGTAAAGGTGTGTCCGTTCATTCACTGGGATGTGCTATACATTCTATGTCAATTTCTAAACCAACGGTCACTCTACAGTTAAAACATCAAATAATTCTGCTTCCTCAACCTCTACCTAATTTTAACTTTTACTCTCTATTTTCATCCAATTGCATTATCATTAAATTTTATATTAAAGTTTTTATAATATATGAATTATGTTTTATTAGGTTTTCATACAAGGTAAACAATTTCGGGAAATAAATTAATTTTAATTTAGTAATAAAGATGAAGAAGGGTAAAATGAAAGAGACAGTTAAGAAGGCAATATGTATGTTTATTTTAATTGAAAACATTTAGTCAAGGAAGTGAATGGTGCAACAGAAAACACTTTTCAATTTTTAATTAGGTTTGAATTTTAATGGAAATTTCATCGATCATAAGAGTGAATAAGTGCTACAACTATAAAAGAAAAATTAATTCTTCGCAGTATCATAACACAAATTGTAGATTTTACTTTCTACAATAAGATGGAAAATTATTAAAATAAAATTAATTTTTATGTCAATACTTCATCACACTTAAATTTACAAAATTAACAACTTTGTGAATCACTTATCACCCTAACCATAAGAGTTTTAATGATGTAAAAAAATTGCTTTATTTTAATTGATTGAAAACGTAACAAAAAACACATATTTTTAATTAAATTTGATTTTTTTTAATTAAAATCCTATTTACCAATTTTTATTCATTCAAGAAAGTAAATGTTGGGTGGTGTTGCGTTTTACAATACCAACAAGGTAAATTTTTAATTATATTAAATTTTAATTAGGTTAAATACAAAAAAATATATATATGAATTTTATTTGTATTTAAATTTAATTGGATGTTACTGTGACTGATAATACACGTAATAATGAACTCTTAATTGCATTAACTTTTAATTAGGTTTAGGTTTTGATTGAACTAAATACATTCACCTAACAAGGTGAACAGGTTGTTTAGTTGGAGAAAAAAAAGTGACGATTTACATTATTTTATTTAAGGATCACACTCATCTTACTATATTACGCTTATGTATAGGATTTAGCTCGTAAGATCTTATAACTTTACGATTTATGTGGTGACAAATAATTAATGACGTCATAGTTAAGATATCAAAATTATAACTTAACATATTTACCAATAAAACCTATTATCCAATTATATATTTATAATACCTATTATCCAATAAAACTTTAGTGTAAATAATAAAAATCACTCATTATTATTTATTAACTTCAATATCATTATTTAATATTAATTTAATAATTTCTTATTTTTTAACACAGAAATAATTAAATGATACGACTATAACATTTATGTCACTAAGTTAATAAAGAATTAAATAGCAAATATTTAATTCAAAAATAAAAAAATTAATTATTCAATAGAGTACAAACATTTAACAAAAACTCAAAATACAGATAAATTTATAATAAATTTATTTATACTATTTGAAGAATTAAAAAAGTTATTCTTTAAAGATCTTCAGTAGTAATGATGTCCATACTAAAATTTTATCATATTTTACAATATCTAAATAGAATTATCATGTTTTCGAATTGGCAATCTAAGCACTTTACCTTTATTTCTTTTTTAGCAAGAATCAACCATTTTCATTCCTAAAAGAATACTAATAATTGTGTGTAGAATGATATTGGTAGCCTAATAAGTTTTAATTAAGCTTTAATCATAATATTATAATTTGATGGAAGAATCGCTATTAATTATTCTCATACTTTCAAATCATATGTTATAATAGATTGATGTAATTAAGGAAATGAGCACAAATAATTAATGTTAATGTATTAAATCGAAGCTTGAAAATTTCTGTTGGAGTTTGATATTTAGTGGAAATAATTTTTTAATAACTTTTAGTTATCTCTTTATCAAGCCATATTATAGTTGAAGTCAACACCCTAAAAACACTGGTGGATTATGTCCACATAAAAGAAATAAGAGTGATCCAAGTGATGTAAGAATCATCAAAATATTTACCTTAATAACAATTTTTTCTTCTNTAGATTGATGTAATTAAGGAAATGAGCACAAATAATTAATGTTAATGTATTAAATCGAAGCTTGAAAATTTCTGTTGGAGTTTGATATTTAGTGGAAATAATTTTTTAATAACTTTTAGTTATCTCTTTATCAAGCCATATTATAGTTGAAGTCAACACCCTAAAAACACTGGTGGATTATGTCCACATAAAAGAAATAAGAGTGATCCAAGTGATGTAAGAATCATCAAAATATTTACCTTAATAACAATTTTTTCTTATTATTATTATTAGTTTTAATAATTTTTTTAATGGATAAAACATGATTAATGAACTTATATAAAAGAAAAATGGTAAGTTAAATAAAGAATTATAGTAGCTTAGATGATAACTGATATTCAACCTTTGGTGGATGCAAATTATAAAATTCAGTCAAGAGACTTTCGATACTTGACAAATCAAGCATGTACAGACAAACAACTTTAGGTGAAAAAGTATTAATAAAAATAAATAAAAATTAAATATAAAAAAATTAAAAAAAAAAGGAAAAATGGGACTATAAATACATATAAAGAAAAAGGAATCTCCACACATCATTTGAAAAAGAAAAGGGCTGAAATAAAATTCTAGTGTTTATTTTAGTTTTACTGCAAGAAATCAAGCATGTGCAAACAAACAATTATAAGTGGAAAAATAAAAAAAAATAAAATAAAAAAATAAAAAAATAAAAATAGGCCTATAAATACATGCAAAGAAGAAGGACTCTCCACGTATCATTTGAAAAATAAAAGGACTGAAATAAAATTATAGTGTTTATTTTAGTTTTATTGTAAGAAGAGAAAAGCTACAAGGAATCATTTTCAACTGAGGGAAAAATGATAAAAAAGAGGTAGGGGAGCTACTTTTTTATTTGTATATAACAAACATATATTTTAGGTTCATGATTATAATTATATGAGATACGAACATGTTGAATTTTAGTGAGGCTAGTTATCTATTCACTTATGAGAGTTTTGATTTTTTTTGACTATGTTTTTATGATTTTCTATTTACCAAGTTACTTTGGTAAAATCTCAATCTCCACTTTGTTTATAGATAGATTAAATTGAAATTTTGATATATGATTCTTAAAATATATTAATTCACTTTGACCATGAGATTTTTAATTTATGATATGTACTTAGAAAAATTAATTTAACAATTCGGAGTAAACTAATCACCACTTTATTTTTGTCTCAAAGTTATCTTAGTAAAATCTCAACATCCATTTCGCTTATCGTTAGATTAAAGTGAAATTTTGATACACGATTTCTAAGACATATTACTTCATTTTTACCTCTATAATAATTAATTTGAAGTGTAGAGAAATAAATTTTGCATTTTGGATGGAGCTGAAAACTACTTTATTTTTGTCTTTAAACTACTTCGGTAAAATTTTAATTCCCACTTAGTTTACTGTTAGATTGACCTCATATTTGGATATATGATTTATAAGACATATGAATTCATCTTGACCACTTAGATTAATATTTGGAAGACTTTGCTTAGAAAAAATTAATTTTGTATTTTGAATGGATATGAAAACCACTTGATTTATGTCCTTAAGTTGTCTCGGTAAAACCTTAATTCTTACCTAGCTAACTGTTAGATTAAACTGAAATTTGGATAAATAGTTTATAAGACATATTGATTCACTTTAACCCCAAAGAATTTTAATTGGATGTCTCAATTTAGATGAATTAGATTTCTATTTTTTAGAGAACTCAATACCACCTTAATTCTATTTTTGGGTCATTTAAGTAAAATTTTTAAAATTCACAATTTATTAACTGTATGATTCAATTGAAAATTTTACTCTAGATTTTACATGTAATGTTATTTACTTTTATTGGTCAAATCTTTAATTAATGATATATATATAATAATGTTTTCACGTTAATTATATAATTATTCTTTTAAATCTGTTAGATATTGGAGAAATTTTATTTTTTAAAATGAAATTTAATACTTTTTANGAAAAGGGCTGAAATAAAATTCTAGTGTTTATTTTAGTTTTACTGCAAGAAATCAAGCATGTGCAAACAAACAATTATAAGTGGAAAAATAAAAATAAAAAATAAAATAAAAAAAAGAAAAATAGGCCTATAAATACATGCAAAGAAGAAGGACTCTCCACATATCATTTAAAAAATAAAAGGACTGAAATAAAATTATAGTGTTTATTTTAGTTTTATTGTAAGAAGAGAAAGGCTACAAAGAATCATTTTCAACCGAGGGAAAAATGATGAAAAAGAGGTAGGGGAGCTAACTTTTTCTTTTTGTGTATAACAAATATATATTTTTCATGATTATAATCATATGAGATACGAGCATCTTGAATTTTAGTGAGGCTAGTTATCTATCCACTTATGAGAGTTTTGATTTTTCTTGACTATGTTTTTATGATTTTCTATTTACCGAGTTACTTTGGTAAAATCTCAATCTCCACTTTGTTTATGGATAAATTAAGTTGAAATTTTGATATATGATTTCTAAAATATATTAATTCACTTTGACCATGAGATTTTTAATTTATGATATGTACTTAGAAAAATTAATTTAACAATTCGGAATAAACTAATCACCACTTTATTTTTGTCTCAAAGTTATCTTAGTAAAATCTCAATCCTCATTTCGTTTATCGTTAGATTAAGGTGAAATTTTGATACACGATTTCTAAGACATATTACTTCATTTTTATCTCTATAATAATTAATTTGAAGTGTGTGCTTACAGAAATAGATTTCGTATTTTGGATGGAGCTGAAAACTACTTTGTTTTTGTCCTTAAACTATTTTGGTAAAATTTTAATTCCCACTTAATTTACTGTTAGATTGACCTGAAACTTGGATATATGATTTATAAGACATATGAATTCATCTTGACCACTTAGATTAATATTTGGAAGACTTTACTTAGAAAAAATTAATTTTGTATTTTGAATGGATACGAAAACCACTTGATTTATGTCCTTAAGTTGTCTTGGTAAAACCTTAATTCTTATCTAACTAACTGTTAGATTAACCTGAAATTTGGATAGATAGTTTATAAGACATATTGATTCACTTTAACCCCTGAGAGTTTTAATTGGATGTCTCAATTTAGATAAATTAGATTTCTATTTTATAGGGAAATCAATATCACCTTAATTCTATTTTTGGGTCATTTAAGTAAAAATTTTAAAATTCTCAATTTATTAACTGTATGATTCAATTGAAAATTTTACTGTAGATTTTACATGTAATGTTATTTACTTTTATTGGTCAAATCTTTAACTAATGATCTATATCTATAATAATGTTTTCACGTTAATTATATAATTATTCTTTTAAATCTGTTAGATATTGGAGAAATTTTATTTTTTAAAATGAAATTTAATACTTTTTATTAAATTGAAAAAATTTATTAAGAAGACAAGGATATGTAAATGGTTAATGCTCATAACACCTAAGATCATTTTATGAGATAATTATATACAAATTTGTTACATCAGAATCGTATCAATTTAATATTAAAGATTTGTTATATTTTCTTTTTAAATATTGAAACCTTTGAGAATTTAAAACGTATTTAAAAAATTCAAATTTTCACGTTGTTTATTTGTAAGTCATGTAAAACGTTTCAACTTAATTATTATATAAATATCATAAATAACCTATTAACTCGATTTTGCAAATGCATTAATAATTGTGTCCAAAACCAAAACCCACTTTTAATTAATAACAAAAAATGTATATTGGATAAACACGAGGAGAAACTCAATTACCATTTTTTTTTTCTTTTGTTAAAATTCATTTAATAAATCATTTAAAAAATGTATAATAAAGTATATTGCAATTAAATTAATTAATAAATCATTTAATTTTATAAATGAGAAATTAAGTTACCTTTTATTGAATAATAATATAATAGTATTAAGTAACATTATAAAATAATCTAATAACTTACATGGTGTGAATTCATGATTAATGTTATTTTTTATCAATAAATTTTTATTCGAAAGATCGATAAGTTGAAAAGATATTTTGTATTACTTTATAAATTGTAAAACTATAATAATTTATAATTTAATTTATAAACGAAACATAATCTTTTATAATAATTTGAAAATAAAAAATATATTTAACTCATAAAACATTAATTAAAAAAATGAGTTTTATAAGACTATTTCACTGTAATAAAAGTGATAAAAAAAAATTAAAAGTTCATATTATAAAAACGTTGAATTATAAGAATAAAAAAAATACCTTTCTAACTTGAGAGTATATATTTTTTTCAACAGCAAAATAAAACATTAATTAGAAGAAAAAAAATAGTCTAATGAAACTCCTACATTACACAAAAAGTAGTAAAAACTATATTAAAATACACTAAAAATACATTAAAACTTATTACTGTGGATTTTATTATTTTATATTACTTTTAAGATTATTGGTTAACAACTTTTACTCATGATTCTTACAAGGCTCATACACAATCTATTGGTTTTATTTGGTTTAATGAAAAAAACTTATGTTTTCAAGATAGACCTTTTTATTTTATTTTATTGAGTACATATTACTATTATATTAGGTGTATATCTATATTTTTCTAATCATTAATTATAATATTAAATATTTTTTTTATCAAACTATTTTTAAGGATGTGTTTCACCTTTAAAATAAATTTATGATTTTTTTTACTTTATGAAAGTAAGGCAAAATATTAGAACTTTACATTGTAGTGGAATGTAACTTAAACATCTATTTTGTTAAAAATAACGTTTACATAACTTTCCTTGAATACAGATACAACATATAAATATAGTTTAAAAACATAATACAATTTTTAAAAATAGTTTAGAAATAAAAAAAATCTAATTAACCTTTAATTATATACTATGTACAAACTTAAAATCATGACCTCCTCTTAAATTTTTGAAGACTTTTTTTGCAAAGTTCAAAATCATATTTATTATTTTTATTAATCTTATTCTTGTGTATATTTAAACTTTTAACAATTTATACATTAGAGAATAAGAGACTTATATAAATACAAAAATTAGAAATGTGACTCAAAATATTTTAATTTGTTCAACTATTAACTCAAAAAATATATCTTATTTTAATCTATCTCACCGTTAAATCATAAAAAACATGAGATTAGGTTGAATCTTTATGATTTGGAGCCTTAACCCATCTTCTTAGAAGCCAACCTGTCATTTTTTTTAATTTGTTTATATTTTTATTTTTAACTTTTGAAATATATATATTAAAAGTATTTATTATTTAAATAATTTTTAACTTATTAATTAATAGTTGTAGTTGAATGAAGAGAATAATTGTTTTTTTACGTTAAATTATTTAATTATAATTGATAGTTATAACTTAATTGATAAACATAAATGCTTTAATTATGACATCAATGCATATTCATATCTTTTTAATATTGTATAAAAAATAATTTTTTTAATTGTTTTTTATTTAAAAAGTGAGTTAACATGTGAACCTAGTGGACCTCTTACTCAACGGATTGCTATACTAATTGAAATATACTGAAAATGTCAACTCTTCATCACATTACTGTTGTTGAGTTTGCTATACATCAAACTTGAAAATTGTGAAAATACCCCTACAATATATTGTGGCCGTCACATGTTATATTACAAAAAAAAAGTAGATCAGCCTAACTCGGTTTTTAGCATGGGGCCCGCAGGGGAAGCGGTTAGCGGGGCCAGCAGAAGCCGTTGTTGTGTTGAGAGAGATTTCAAACTGAGGGAAAAATGATAAAAAAGAGGTAGGGGAGCTACTTTTTTATTTGTATATAACAAACATATATTTTAGGTTCATGATTATAATTATATGAGATACGAACATGTTGAATTTTAGTGAGGCTAGTTATCTATTCACTTATGAGAGTTTTGATTTTTTTTGACTATGTTTTTATGATTTTCTATTTACCAAGTTACTTTGGTAAAATCTCAATCTCCACTTTGTTTATAGATAGATTAAATTGAAATTTTGATATATGATTCTTAAAATATATTAATTCACTTTGACCATGAGATTTTTAATTTATGATATGTACTTAGAAAAATTAATTTAACAATTCGGAGTAAACTAATCACCACTTTATTTTTGTCTCAAAGTTATCTTAGTAAAATCTCAACATCCATTTCGCTTATCGTTAGATTAAAGTGAAATTTTGATACACGATTTCTAAGACATATTACTTCATTTTTACCTCTATAATAATTAATTTGAAGTGTAGAGAAATAAATTTTGCATTTTGGATGGAGCTGAAAACTACTTTATTTTTGTCTTTAAACTACTTCGGTAAAATTTTAATTCCCACTTAGTTTACTGTTAGATTGACCTCATATTTGGATATATGATTTATAAGACATATGAATTCATCTTGACCACTTAGATTAATATTTGGAAGACTTTGCTTAGAAAAAATTAATTTTGTATTTTGAATGGATATGAAAACCACTTGATTTATGTCCTTAAGTTGTCTCGGTAAAACCTTAATTCTTACCTAGCTAACTGTTAGATTAAACTGAAATTTGGATAAATAGTTTATAAGACATATTGATTCACTTTAACCCCAAAGAATTTTAATTGGATGTCTCAATTTAGATGAATTAGATTTCTATTTTTTAGAGAACTCAATACCACCTTAATTCTATTTTTGGGTCATTTAAGTAAAATTTTTAAAATTCACAATTTATTAACTGTATGATTCAATTGAAAATTTTACTCTAGATTTTACATGTAATGTTATTTACTTTTATTGGTCAAATCTTTAATTAATGATATATATATAATAATGTTTTCACGTTAAGGATAGAATGTATGCGGTGGAAAGCTGTAAGATTGGAAGAAATGGAGTGGGCAAAAGGAAAGTGATATACTTGGGAGTAAATGGAAATAAAAAATTTATTAATAGAGACAACGGATTCGGACAAGGCGGTAAGGCTGCAGAAACCTAAGTCATGTGGGAAGGAGAAGGTGATACACAGGGGGGAAAGAGTAGAAATGGAATGAATAAAGAGGGGGGAGAGTGTGGGCGTGGGGAAGAGCGGAAACCGGGGAGAAGAAGGGAAAAAGGAGGGAAACAGAAGGCAAAGGGGACACGCAGGGGAGGTGGAAGGCAGGGAAAAGGTGGGGACGGAAGGATAATAAAAATGAGGCATAAATAACCTAGGACACGATGGGGCCAAATAGCAGGAAGAAGGGGGCCAAACAACAAAAACCCACGGGTAAGTAATAACAAAAAATGGATGAGGGGATGAAACAGGAGGAGAAACTCAATGACCAGGGGTTGGGCGGGGGTGAAAAGTCAGGGAATAAAGAAGTGAAAAAATGTATAATAAAGTATATTGCAATTAAATTAATTAATAAATCATTTAATTTTTTAAATGAGAAATTAAGTTACCTTTTATTGAATAATAATATAATAGTATTAAGTAACATTATAAAATAATGGGTTAAATATGTTTTTAGTCCCTAAACTATGGGCCATTTCTGGTTTTCGTCCCTCTTCCAAAGTAAGGTACACTTTAGTCCTCATCCTTCGAAACTTTGGTTTTCAGTCCTCCAAAACTAACACCGTGAAAAAATTGTTGATGGGGTGTAAAGTCTCTTGTTCCCACAGGGTGTAACAGTTCTTTCGACTGTTCAACGGGTCTCTCTCCAGGTTTAAAAAAATAAAATGCAAAGTTAATCCAACGTGTGAAGTGTCTGGTTAGTAGTTCCATCTGCAAAGTGTGTGTGGGAAGGATTCGAACCAAAGACAAAGTGGAAAGAGGTTGTGAAGCTGGCGATATCACCTTCTGGGCGTTGGTGGAGTTGGGCACGTAAGTTCACATTGTCTGTGTTTTGGTTTAAAATGATGGCATGAGATTGGGGATGTGGGTTTTGTGTGAAGGGTACTGGGTTGAACTTGAGTTTTTTGGTAATCATTTTGAAGGGAATGAAAGGTGATCGAGGGGAGGTGCACACCAAGGAGCATAGGTTCTGGAATGTCCCAAAAGTGTGGATCATCTCAATGTAGCTTCAAAAAACTGTGGTGTGGGGAAAGATTGTTGTGTTGGAAGGCACTCAGGGAAGAACAAAGGGAGACAATTTATAGATGTAGAAAATTGAAAGTAAGTGAGAATTAAAAGCGTGTATTTTTATGGTGTTGAATATTGCATGCTGATTTATAATTTTAATTTGCAGAGTTAATCAAGCTGTAACTTCTTTGAATGGGTTGATGATGAAGGAAGCGATGGATTTCGAATGGAGGGAGCTTCAAAAGAAGAGTGAGAAAGAAGTTGAATTGTGTATGAAAAAAGTGGTGTGTGGAGATAAGGAAGAAGAAGGACAAGAGTTGAAGAAGAAGAAATTAGGAGGAAGAGAGAAAAAAAAAAAAATTTCCAAATGATGTTGGTGTTTTTTGTATTGTCATGGGCATTAACTGCCATGTTTTGTATTCTGTTTGTGTTGAAGGTTAATTGTAATTAGATAGGTTGTCATGTGGATGTACAAGGAAGTTTTAAATTCAATAAACTGTGGAGTTCAGTTTTTTTCACTCTGGCTTGATGGTTTGTTTGTTATGTTTTTGCATTGGTGTTATATTACTTTGGAAATATGAACAGGGGTGTTTAAATCACCACAGATATTTTCTGTTTATATAATAGAAAAAGTGTTTCAAAAATTTAGGGGTGAAATGTAATTTTGCTAAGAAACGAGTTTGGAATGTTATTGTGATGATGTGAAGCAATTGGTTTGACCAAATTTGACATGTACTAACTGCCAGCAGAGGCTAAAAAGCTCGAGATGAAAAATTATCAGTTGATGAGGTGGTCTTTAGCACCAAAAGTTGGGGATTAGATGGAATTTGTAGAGGATAAAAGCCAGAAACTAGACAGGAGGAAATTGTTGTGGTTCCAGCAGCCAACAGAGGGACTCAAAGCAAATAAACCTTGTACCAAAGTGTAAAAAATACCAGAAACTGCAAATATTTTTAACCAGTTTAGAGGAACCTAATTGAGCCACTTTTGCAGACAGCAGTAAGAATTTACAACTAAGTAAAAGCAAAGCAAGTGTGGTCCATATTGATTAATAAGAAGTGTTCAAATAGTGGTCCCAGCCTAGTTTAAAGGGTTACAGACAGGACAAGAAAAAAAAGTGGTACAATTAAACAAAGCCACTACTTTAATTTACAACTTCCTTGACACCTTAAAGCCCACTACAATTGTCTGAAAGTAATATCTTTCAATTACAAACTTAGTGAGACCCTACAATTGTGCAGCCAATTCTTGTGGGATGTTCTTTATTCTTGCCCCTCCACGCATGTTGCAGGATCTCGACCCTTGTGATGCTGATGCAGCCCACCGAACCCTGCAATGTGGCTGATTTCCTTCAAGCTTGGGGCAGATGCAGATGCCCCCCTTTCAGCAATTGTATGCAGCCTTCCAGCTTGTGTGCAGCCTTCCAGCTTGTGATGCAGCCTCCAGTGAAGATCCAGCCTTTGTTATGCAGATCCAGGTTGTTGATGTAGAACCCCCCTTTTGTCCTCGAAGAGGAGTAAGTAAGATAGTAAATAACAAAAAGTTGTAAATAAAGTTGGAACTTGTTACAATAACACTTACCAAGAAAGATTTACCGTCCTTTTTCTGGCTCTTGTTACATGTCCTAATTTGTGTCCATATGCATTGCAAAGTGCTAAATCTTTAGCCGAGTATTGGTCTTTGACAATTTCCATGGCTCACATATTCATCAACTCTCTTCTTCTTAATTTTTTTGGCTCCCAGGAGGTCTTTTGTAAATGGGAGGTAGAAAAAAAAATAGTTGTGGAAGTCAGATGTAGGCCAAAGTTTTGTTGTCCATTGATAGGAATTATTAGTTGGTTTTGCATAACAAGTTCTATAGGCATCTTTCTTATGTAAGGATGAAACATAATGTTCTGGGTTTTCTGAGTTGTAATGAATGGCAGCAATTGGCATGTCTACATGGTATTCCTACCAAATCCAACAAGTAACAAGTCATGTGTGATTACTAAATCAACAACAAATTTGTCCATGGTAAATCTGGAAAACCAAAACCCTGTGCAATCCATGCGCTACATTTGCAATTTGCCACCAAAACCCCTTCCACACTTGTGCTGAAATAGAGTTTTGAGTCTAAGTTTCCCTGATTCCTCCTTGCTAGCAATAAATAACAAAAACCACAAACCCCTTCTACAAAACTGCCTTTAAAACCCTCGTCGAATCATTCTTCCAAAAAACCTACTTCTTTTCCATTCAAACGCTATTGTGCTCTTGTAAAAGCACTCCTTCAAAATCCTTCCAAACCTTAAACTCCATTCCCAATCTAAATTTGAACGCCCTTATTCATATCTTTGCTTTATTGACGTTGAAAGTGCTTCATTGTCCCGCATCATCCTCATCAATAATAAAATTGAGGAAAACTCTTCTGTATCATAATCTTCATGTATTGTCAGTTGTTCCAAACTCTCGTTAATGACAAAATGGCCCCTCACTCTACCACATCTGCTCCTAACCTTTATTTTTGTTTTTCATTCTTGCAACCTATCCAAAATGGATTAATAGTTCTTTCTCTTCTCAAACATCTACACATTGTCCATCCAAACAATCACGCACACACATTTGCCATTCTATCCGATTGCACTTAATCAACATTTTCCACCCTTCGTCTTCTCCTCAACAACATTCTCTCCTTTCACTGTCATCAACATTCCCCTCTTCCTCTTTGCTCTCCACTGCTCTTCACCATGTCTCACTCAACATCCCAACCTTCTTCCTCTTCGTAATACTACCGCACACCTAGGGTCTCTACGTCAACATTTCCCTCACCCCACCACAATATCTTCTTCATCCATAACAACCTCTTCCTCCATCTGCTGTACTCTTACTTCCTCTGCCTCCTCACCAAATGTAACAAAACTAATTTCCTCTACCTGACTGGGTTGGCCATGTTGAACATAGATTTCAACTTCCTCCTTATTTGCCTCTGCATAGTTAGCCAACAAAATGCTTCTCTGTCATCTGTCAGTGGTCTGAGGTTGTTCATTTCCTTTTGTTTGGAACCCTTCCACCAAAGTTTGAACTCTCCAGAGTACTTGAATTCTCTAACAAATCCCACTGCTTCAAAGTATGACCACATGTCGGGATCGATTCCCCTAATAACATGTATCTCTCCTCCCACGTATTGTAGACCCTTGTTCTTCATGAACTTCCCCATATGATACAAACACACATCAAAAACCATTTTTCCTACAAGGTCAAATGAAAACTTCCCACATTAGACTCACAATGCACAGCGGAATGCCCATTACACACACAATTGCTTTTTTTGTTCAACGAATCACAGAGAAAACAAGTTCAACTTAAACTAAAAAATTACCTTGCTGAACGAACCACCTCAACGAACGACAAAGAAATCCCTTTCTTTCACCAAGCAAACTCAATGAACCACGAAGATGCACGCGCAGATGAACCACGAACCAAACCCAAACAAAGAACAGCAACACCAACACCAATTGCAACTGATTTTGAGTACCAATTTCGTTCCAAATTAAAGAGGAATCACTTCCATCCCCAGCTGACTTAACACGTCAGCAAAAAACCAATTACACGTGCAAAGAGACGTTAGACACATCAGCATATTTTTCACGGTGTTAGTTTTGGAGGACTGAAACCAAAGTTTCGAAAAGGATGAGGACTAAAGTGTACCTTACTTTGGAAGAGGGACGAAAACCAGAAATGGCCCATAGTTTAGGGACTAAAAACATATTTAACCCTAAAATAATCTAATAACTTACATGGTGTGAATTCATGATTAATGTTATTTTTTATCAATAAATTTTTATTCGAAAGATCGATAAGTTGAAAAGATATTTTATATTACTTTATAAATTGTAAAAATATAATAATTTATAATTTAATTTATAAACGAAACATAATCTTTTATAATAATTTGAAAATAAAAAATATATTTAACTCATAAAACATTAATTAAAAAAATGAGTTTTATAAGACTATTTCACTGTAATAAAAGTGATAAAAAAAAATTAAAAGTTCATATTATAAAAACGTTGAATTATAAGAATAAAAAAAATACCTTTCTAACTTGAGAGTATATATTTTTTTCAACAGCAAAATAAAACATTAATTAGAAGAAAAAAAATAGTCTAATGAAACTCCTACATTACACAAAAAGTAGTAAAAACTATATTAAAATACACTAAAAATACATTAAAACTTATTACTGTGGATTTTATTATTTTATATTACTTTTAAGATTATTGGTTAACAACTTTTACTCATGATTCTTACAAGGCTCATACACAATCTATTGGTTTTATTTGGTTTAATGAAAAAAACTTATGTTTTCAAGATAGACCTTTTTATTTTATTTTATTGAGTACATATTACTATTATATTAGGTGTATATCTATATTTTTCTAATCATTAATTATAATATTAAATATTTTTTTTATCAAACTATTTTTAAGGATGTGTTTCACCTTTAAAATAAATTTATGATTTTTTTTACTTTATGAAAGTAAGGCAAAATATTAGAACTTTACATTGTAGTGGAATGTAACTTAAACATCTATTTTGTTAAAAATAACGTTTACATAACTTTCCTTGAATACAGATACAACATATAAATATAGTTTAAAAACATAATACAATTTTTAAAAATAGTTTAGAAATAAAAAAATCTAATTAACCGTTAATTATATACTATGCACAAATTTAAAATCATGACCTCCTCTTAAATTTTTGAAGACTTTTTTTGCAAAGTTCAAAATCATATTTATTATTTTTATTAATCTTATTCTTGTGTATATTTAAACTTTTAACAATTTATACATTAGAGAATAAGAGACTTATATAAATACAAAAATTAGAAATGTGACTCAAAATATTTTAATTTGTTCAACTATTAACTCAAAAAATATATCTTATTTTAATCTATCTCACCGTTAAATCATAAAAAACATGAGATTAGGTTGAATCTTTATGATTTGGAGCCTTAACCCATCTTCTTAGAAGCCAACCTGTCATTTTTTTTAATTTGTTTATATTTTTATTTTTAACTTTTGAAATATATATATTAAAAGTATTTATTATTTAAATAATTTTTAACTTATTAATTAATAGTTGTAGTTGAATGAAGAGAATAATTGTTTTTTTACGTTAAATTATTTAATTATAATTGATAGTTATAACTTAATTGATAAACATAAATGCTTTAATTATGACATCAATGCATATTAATATCTTTTTAATATTGTATAAAAAATAATTTTTTTAATTGTTTTTTATTTAAAAAGTGAGTTAACATGTGAACCTAGTGGACCTCTTACTCAACGGATTCCTATACTAATTGAAATATACTGAAAATGTCAACTCTTCATCACATTACTGTTGTTGAGTTTGCTATACATCAAACTTGAAAATTGCAATTATTTTATTTAAACTAATAAAATTATATAAATTATTTATATTTTATTTTATAATTATAATAATAACAATAACAATTATATTATTTTTTACTATGATAAAAAAATGATCACGTTTTTTCACTAGTTATTATAAATAAAATTAATCAAATCTTAATTTCTTATGAAATTTAAACATGTTTATTGAAATTTTTAATAAAATATTATAATTTAGTATTAAAAAGTTTATACATTTTAAAATATAAGATTATAAACTAACTTGTAGTTACAACTAAATAGACAACTGAATGAAATAACCATAGTCTCACTCACACAAAAATTAAAGTACAAAACTCAATTAAAAAACCACAAAATTAATAAAAATTAAACAAACATACCCAAATTTATTAACAACTTAAGACTTAATTAATTATTGTAAATATATATCTTTTATATAATTTTACTACAATAACCTCTTATATTTTTAATAAATATACAACATTTATTTTCACACATTCATTAATTATTGTGAGAGCAAATTAAAACACTAAATTTGCTTGCATTTTTTTTTAAACTTTTTTAAGTCAAACATAATATTAATTACTATTTGGTAATTTGTATTCTATTCTTTTACATTTTTGTTTCCTTGCTTATTTAGCTTAAAGGAAATTCTTTCCTATTTCCAAAAAAAAAAATGGTGAAAAGAAATGATAAATAGATTGTATAAATAAAAGAGAAAAAAATGTAGTGGGGTTTTGGTTTTGATAACAGCTTCAAGAAATGCCTTTGAGTAGAAGAAGCCACACACATGCACGCCATCGCCATAGCCATAACATTAATCTCTTTACAGTCATGCTCGGCTTCACATCAAACTCTAATCACTCTTTCTTCTTTCTCTTCTTCTGCATCTTTCTCTTTCTCTTTTCGGCTTCTGCAGCAACACCTTCAGGTTCTTTTTATTCTTTCTTTAAAATCTTATTCTGCTATTATTTTCATTATATGTCAATTCAAGATTCTTACTCTTTTCAGATTGCCTTGAAGATGTTAACCAGCGGTATGAGGAGGTGTTGGTGGTGCCGCCATGGACGGCCAGGAGATCAACGGCCGAAGGTGCAAGTCCGAGGAATGGGACTCTGGTGCTTGCTAAGGAGAGAACTCGCCGGCAAGATTGGTTTAACGGTTTTACCCTTTACAAAGGTGGCTGGAATATCAGCAACGCGTATTATATAAAGGTTATCTCTTCTTCTTGCACTGCAATTACTACATTCCACCATTGATAACTCTAACCAAGCTCTACAATTAGTTTCATCTTGACTGGTGTTTGCGTCACGCGCTTTCGCCACGTGTTGTTCATGCTTCACTACTCAATGACGCGTTCAAGCTCCTATTGGTCATTTCAAGTTTTTCAATTTATAGAAAGAGTGTATAACACTTAATTAGTGCTATGTTGTGATTATTTTGGATTACCTTGAGATAATTTCCACTTAATCAAAAGGTTTGAAAATTTTGAGTTGCGGATTATGGATTTTTTCTTGGAACTTGTAGAATTAAAATGTAACCATATTTTTTTGTACAATTTTCTTATTCAAATTGGAATTTCCAATGAGAACTTGATTTTAAAGTTGAGCTTTATTTCACTTAGTTATATAAGTGATCCTTCATTTTGATTGAGAAGTACATCTAAGATTTGTCTTTTCTTTCTTGTTTTTCTTGAAATACAAATACTATAAGTTTCAAAATATATGCCATTTTAATCATTAAAAAGTTTCAAATTGATTGAAGCTTCAAATTTTTTGATGCAGTGTTAGGTTTAATTTGTCCTTAAATAAGTACATACATGATATTTTGTATTTACAGCATATAAAAAATGTATTCAATGAGGCTGGGATAATTTTACTAAAATTGATTCACATATTTGTTATTGTTGCGTAAAAAAAATGTTTCACATTTTTTATTCTCTCGTTTTCTTAATTGACAGAAATTGATGCATAATTTAATTTGCTAACGTGGAATTGTTCTTGGGAGGTGCAGTCAGTTATGTCTACTGCGTTTCCTTTTTTCGTTGTGGCTGCAGCCTGGTTCGTGATTTTTGGAGTTGTTTTACTTATCGGCTGTGCTTGTTGCTGCTGTTGCAACGGAGGAGAACCAAGCGACTATTCCAAAATTGTCCATTATTTTTCGTTGTTCTTGCTTATAATCAGCACCATTATCACAATGTAAATAACTCCCTTTTCTTTCGATCACTCTTTTGTTTTTTCTAATTTTTTAGTTCTCTATGGATTTCAATTAATACTGAAAATTGCTGTTATATATCTCTCTTAGAACAAATATATAAGTCTTGATGTGTCTCTGATTAAGCACATTAATTATTTACGCTTAGAGGTGGATGTGCTCAGTTGTACTCTGGTCAGGGGAATATTGATGGAAGCACTTCCGAGACACTTGATTACGTTTTAAATCAGGCACAATTCGTGGCTGAAAACCTCAACACCATATCAAATTATTTCGATTCGGCTAAGCGCGTTGTGAGGGAGCCTCCTCTGCCACTAGACATAGATCTTGGACCGGACCTTGATGACATCAAATTAAAAATAGACCGTGCTGCTGATACTCTCTCCAACAAAGTTAGCGCTAACTCAAAGACCATACGCAAAGCCATAGATGTAGTGTAAGTACATAAACTAAGATTTCATTTGGTTTTTTGAAATATTTCTTTTGCTAATCATCGATATTTGTTGTGATCATCTGCAGAAGACTGGCTCTCGTTATCGTTGCTGTTGTTTTGTTCTTTGTTGCATTTCTCCGGCTCTGTATGTTTGAATTTGCCTTATTCTTTTCTGGACCATATGCTAAGTGTTTATCAGATTATATAGGATCTCATTTGGGTTCGTGTGTATGCAGTCTTTTGTTTACTTGCGTGGAAGTGTCCAGTGTACTCGTAAGTTGAATCAATTTATTTTTCTTCTGGATGCTTAAATCACCGGTGGATTTGTCTTTGAAGTTTCTGTTCAATAAACAATGTTTTCTTGTGGCTGCAGCTTGGTAGTTATTGGATGGATTCTTGTCACTTGTACCTTGGTACTTTGTGCTGCATTTATTTTTGTTCATAAGTAAGTTTCTCCTCAACGAACTTGTGAGACTGATAAATCAAATTTTATGACTTTTAATATAGTTCAACCAACAAAAATACATTAGTTAAAGGATTATACTCCTTTAATATTTCTCATGCATGTATTTGATAGAAAAAAGAAACCGCCAAGAATGCATATATGTTTTTTTTTCTAACAGTGTGACTGGAGATACATGTGTTGCGATGGATGAATGGGTTGTGAACCCCACCGCCCACACTGCACTGGATGACATTTTTCCATGCGTGGAGGAAAAAGCTGTTCTGGAAACATATTTAAAAAGCAAGATCCTCACATATAAAATCGTTGAAGCATTTGACAAAGTCATTTCCAACTTCACCAACTCAAATACTCAATCAGGCCCCCTCGTCCCTCTTCTCTGCAATCCATTTAATTCAGACCTAACAAGTCGCAACTGCTCTTCAGGGGAAGTCACATTCCAAAACGCCATCCAGGTGTGGACCATTCCAAAACATTCATTCATATATTTTACAGCATCTTGGAATTGAAGGCATATATTTTACAGCATGTTGGAATTTTCAGGTTTGGAAAAACTTTACGTGCCAGGTTTCGTCGAGTGAAAAATGTACGAGTGCAGGTCGTTTGACACACAGCATTTACACGAAACTGGGAGATGCAGTGAATGTGACGTACGGTTTATTTGAGTATGGGCCATTTATTGCTGACTTAGTTGACTGCAATTTTGTTCGGAGAACGTTCAAGGACATTAGCACCCATTATTGTCCACCTCTGCGAAGATATTGTGAACAGGTTTATTTGGGATCAGTTCTGGTTTCTGCAGCAGTAATGCTCTCTTTGATATCTTCGCTCTTCTTTGTCAGAGAGCAGTGGATGTTTCTTCACAACAATGGTGTTCTTTAGTCAGACACAGCAGTTGCTATTTCAGAAAAAAAAAAAAATTCGTGTGGAACAGAAATTTTGCAGACTCGTGTACAAAAAAAATTATATATGATAGATTAAAACAAATAAATTAATTTTAATTAACTTATTTTATTTAATTGAGACCTTTTCTTAAAGATGATTTTTATTTTTTTTGTGATTTAAGTTATAATGAACGAAAGTTTAACAAACAATAATTGAAATCAATACGGCATGTCAAAACAAATTTATAAAAACAAAATATATTTAACTTTTTCAAGTAGTTCCCCAGTAGTTAAAGATAAAAAAAAATTATATAAGAAAAAAATTATAAATCAACTCGTAGTGAACTCATTTTCACCCATTAAAATGTTAATTTTTTTCTCTTGTGGACAGCTTTAAAAATATTTTATATAATTTCTCCAAAGTTTTATTTTAGATAGTAGTTGAAAAATATTAAATGTCATCATTACATTTCGATTATGCATGATAAAAATAAGCATCGTAAAAACATAAAGGTTACAGTTTTATAAATATGGGAAACTATATAATGATGACTGCTATAGAAACATAGTTGTATATATGTTAAAAACTACAATAAATGGTTGCAAAGATATGCTGTTATGTCGCATACAGATTCCTTTTCCATTTTCTTCTTTTTTATATCGTAAGAATCTCTCTTTTTCTCTTTTTGTTAAGTTATCTTTATATATCAATAGATGAAACTAATGTGTATTAGTTTTACATTAATTATTTTCAACCTACAAAATGTGAATTTGAATATTTTTTTTATGCTAATTAGTTATTTAAGAATTAGTGCATAAAGAAAGATACTTACATACTTAATTTGCATCAAGTATTCTACGTCAACAAAGATACATACCACATCAATCAATTATTATTTAGCATAATAATTGGTCTGCGGATAAACTAATATAAACAAAATATTAAAAAAAAGTTATATAAATGTTTAAACAACAATTTTATTTTAACACTTCTTACTTTATTATATAATGTTATCAATGATATTAAAATTAGAATAAACTAAATAAACACAAAATTAAAATTCATGATATAAATGATTTATAAATATGAAAGCTAAATTTTTCTATGAATAAAGAAACATAAAAATAAATTATTGTTTACGCTATAAAAAAAGTTATAGTAATTAATCAATGTTAAATACATGCCAATATATATATATATATATATATATATATATATATATATATATATATATATAAATTTATAGATGGATT